CCGCACAAACTCATACAGTATTCAACATAAATACAAGTTTGATTCAAATTTTTGCATGAACAAGACTTTCATTCTTTTTAGCGCATTTTCTCATTTATGAAAAAATGTCCGTCTGTCCATTTGTCTGTCCATCTGTCTGTCCGTCTGTCTGTCCTTCCGTGACTTCAAGTTTTCGTCGACAAGAAAATGCGCTCTCTGTCACTCACTGCAGTGAGTACCTACTGAATTATATTTTTTTACCTGGTGCTAGGTTGCAAAGAGCAACGCTCCGCGTACTACTTAACCCGGCTGACATAAAGTGATTGACTTGAGCTTTGTGATCTCGATTAGTAGAGACTTGCATTTATTCATTCATCATTTATTCGTCATTCATTCATCAATTACTCATCATTCAATCATCATTGATTCATCATTCAATTATTATTGATTCATCATTTAATCATCATTTGTGTGCCTGCTGAACTATTTGCGAACGTCCGGTAATTTGTTAAGAATGGATTTTCAGTTATTTTTTGTAATAGACTAATTTTCAATAAGGCTATTATGCAGATTTTGTTTCTAGTTTCTTGTACGATCTTTTTTAAATGATTTCAGAAGCCGCCTAATAAGCAGCACAACACCGTTTGTTATTTAACTGTCCTTTACGAACTTATAGGATTTTCAAAAGGATTTTTTATATAATGGTTAGAATATCATATTTTGTAGCGTCTCAGCATCTTTCACTTCAACGTGGTTAACTCGTAATTTCTGCGTACCGTATTTTATACTGAATGAAATCATATGAGATCGAAGTAATGAGACGACTGTCGAAAACATTCACAGCCGTTTTGCTGCATTTCAAACTAAAAAATTAACGTCGAATGTTCAGTGCCAAGACACTTAATATGGCGATCATTTGGTATTACAACTTCAAGGAACAGTGTGACTATTAATGTGTCTTAGGAACTGTCAGAATGTCGTTTTCAGAATCTTGTAGGTGACATAATTTTTAATTTTTATTAGGCATTAGACTTGAACAGCAATATTATCTACTTGATTACTTTTCGGCGATGTTAATACTGGTAAACAAACTCATTACCATGGAATAACGATATATCAAATTCAAAAAATTTTAAGCTTTCGCCCAATGCATTTCCAGCACTGGCATATTTTTTTAGTTCTGCATAACTTGCCAGCAAATTTCATCTCGTTCCACATTTCACTTTCTTTTGATGTGTTCGATTGCCTATGTCACAGCACATAGCTGAAAGCATGCCGTTGATATGCATACAGCAAAATGCCCCATGCATGGTGTTCCATTTACTTGTATGTCTAATGAATGATTATTCGTTGATATTTATAAGAATTTTTTATAAACCGTGAGCTTACGAAGCTATTCCCAGGTAACGACTTCAACTCTACAACAAAGTACGCCAAATATCATTGTATATACCATGAAATTGATTTTTCAGTGTACGTAAGAGAAGGCTTCTTTGTCTTTATATATTAGATATAAAGACGCATATAATTACTTCATATATACTAAATTTATGGTAAAGATTGAAACGCTGAAACATAGATTACTTATGTTTTATTCATCTGTGTCTTTAAAAAATTTAAATATATACTGTTCTTATTTTACTAGCACTCAAAAACTTCACACGTGCAGATTCGAGTTTAATTCGCGACATTTTAAGCGTAAATGCAGAGACGAACTTCCGAAGATCTAAATTCCAAACGACGTGTCGCTCCAAAGTGATTCCTGAGCGTCGTTCCTGAAAGATGTATGAAATACCAGCGAGATTCCAGAGCAGAAATCTGTCGTTCACCTTGCAAGCAATCTGTCGATGGCTTATTCCTTTCACGGCTGCTTGGATTTCCGTCAGAATTGCACAAGGGTGCTCTGGGCTACCGTAAAACCTTTCCGGGATTCGCAAACAGATTTTATTATTGAAAGCACTCACAGGCAGGAAGAAGACACGCCCTTTCAATAACTTATGCACGATTGAGAGCATTTATTATCAATAAAGTGTGAGTTTCCGAACCATAGTAAAATAATTTTCCTGAAGTTTTAGTTTCGGGATATTTACGAGTATCAATACGATATGAAAAATACGAATCCTAAATACATGTTTGATTTTAAGTATTCATTTCCGGCCACATTAAAATAAATCAGAGGGATTATATTGCTGCCATAATGCATTATACTTCATTACCTCGCATTTGCCTTATTTTTATCGAGAGTTTCCTATGGTCAGCAATTTCTTATAATAAGTCAACCTACCATAAAAAAATTTACGACGCTTGGAAACTTTCATTTGATTGTCAATGCCATTTTTGAAAGTCTATTTAGGTTTTTCAAGTACCGTAATACATTTCTTCATTAACATAATAACCGTTAAAATTTGTTTCAAAAAGAAGGAAAGCCGTATAATAAATGTCAGCAAATATTACTTAGAGCAAATACAGTATGTCTGAAAATTTTCAGCATCTGTTTCTTGTTTTAGAACAGTAATAGAAATTTTTGGCTTCCACGATGTTGTAGGATTATTACTAACGCCCTTGAAATAAAAATGCCTATTCTGCCCGCATGAGAACAATCTACTTGGTTTCATTTCGGAGATAAATTCCAACCCCAGACCTCATTTCTGGGGAACAGAATACAGGAATTGAATCATAAAGTCGTAATCTCTACGGAGGATAGTCTCACTATTTATACCCGAACCTCTTGAACTTGCTGAACTTTGGCTTTGAGGTCCAGTGTTGAGTTCAAGGAAAATTATGCAGGATGAAATTTTAGTTGCGTCAACACAAAATAAATTTGCTTAACGATTGTCAATGGCACATATCAGAGAACTGTTTATGAGTGACTTAGTATTTCTATGTTGATTGAAAAATAACATAGAAACAGTTCATCACTATATCAAATGTGAAAGCTTAGATATCAAAGAATTGCTTAGAGATAGCTTAGATAGTTCATTTATAGCTTAGAATAGCTTAGAAACAGTTCATCGCTCACTTAATTATTAAAATTGAAGCAGCTGTGTCTTCAAGAGGTCTTCAATAATATTTTTTATCTACGGTGCACTGAATTTGATGTATTAACAACGATACGAACATAACTTTCCTCCATTTTCAATTCGCATAATCACGTTCCAATTGAGATCGTTTATTCAGTGAGAGTAAAGTTTCAGTGCTAGCAGTCGACCTTTGTTTAGCCGCTGAAATGAATCGCTTTTCAGTTGCCTATCAACTATTAACTTTGCAAGGAGTTCTCAGGCCAAGTTTAGACCTTAAAAAAGAGACGAGGATCGATGAGGGACAACTTTTTGAGGGTTCTAGACTAACCGAAGTTCTTAAGTATTAAAGCCTTGACTTTAAAATTGAGCCCCAGCGACTCTGGAATGCTGTGGACGAATAACGTTGCACCGATTTAATATTCTCAGCTAGAACTTGTTTAATATTTCCAAAAGAGAAATTCGCTTGGATTGGCGCACTTAATTACGATTGAAAATCATGAGCGATTCAATCTTTCTCATGTTTTTTATTCATCATTTCAAATTCAAAAGGCCACTCCTGAGACGAATTCTAATGAAACCGCTTTTTTCCGTACCTGATGCTTGTTCCAGGAGTGAAAGGTATGAAGAGCAGGCTGAGTTAAGAGTAACAAAATAGTCTTGAGTTTAAGGTAAAAATGAATATACTGAGAACAGAGTAGCAAAGAATGGTCTAACTCTAAGTTCAAGGTAAAACAGAACAACATGAATTCAAGGTATAAACGATCAGTGTGAGTCAAGCTACGAAGAGCGTGTCCAGGGAGCATGAGGCAAATCAGCTTTTATTGTTTTGTCGACTATAAATAAAAGAGTCCCGTAGCATGCAAGACGAAGAGCAGCTAGACGTCGTTATGGCCTTCCTGCTAATGACTTTATAATGGCCTCCTACTCAGACACCGGGCCTCTGATATGCAGCTAAAGCTGCTCTCGTATCTCTACAGTTAGGATGAGCGAAGAGATTCTGATTAATATGAAATTAAAAGACCTCAAATCTCCCTCGATTAAGTAATAATGAATAAGTATGTCAGTATTATACGTAATGAAAAATTCGTTAGCACTGAAACTTTAAAAGAATATTGATTAGAATATTATACCAGATCGATATATGATTTTTATTAACGTTGTAACGAAGAAATTACTGTTCAAAATGAAAGACAAAAAAATTACATATGCGACTCAATGTTGTGCCGTTACTTAATTAGAATGATATTATACCAGTTTAATGTTAAGGCCTGAGAAATTTTCCGACCAGGGCAACATTTGAATATAAGAACTATAACTGAATATATGTATAATCTTCAGCTTTGTCTGGGAAGTCATCATGAACTATTATAAATCTTAACGCCTTATACCTATCGGAAATTAATTTGTAAAAATCTATCACAAATTGTCCGGCCTCCCATAATTCCTGAAGGCCTTCGATTCACTGTTTGCTGTAGCATGACCATGGCGCTGGATTCTTCGAACAATTGGCCTGGTCATAGTAGGGAACATAATTGTGCTGACGTACACAATTCCAGGTATCATACTGGCTGTTGAATGTGTCAGGAACAAACCTATACTCCTAGTTCATTGATTAGAAAAATATTGGACCTGAAATGGTATTGGACATTGAAATGGTATTGGACACTATTACTGTGTCAAACGGTATCTTATCAGTATAAAATGACGTTCTCTCGTTCTCACTCACTAAAAAGAAGATTAAAATTTGTAACGATTAGTCGAACTTTTACATTGCATTACATTGCAAGGGCCTAAGAATCGAATCCCTGAGCGCTATCGCATGTTAGCATTTCGTGTAAACAAGTTTACCGGCTGGCTTTCTCTTGCCAAACTAACCACCAACGAAGGTTGAGTTTGTCCTGTCAATAACTCTCGCTCTTATCAACTGATAAGGAACCATGACCTCTAAACGCTGCTTTAAAAATGAGACCGCGCAACCCCACCCTTCATTGCTAGCCGAAAGCAGCTGCGAGGAAGCTCGCTTGTTTCAATTATCCAGGCCTTCGTGCTAAATCTGATTAGTATTTTTAAATTCTGCGTGGAATACTTTTAAGTTCTGCGTAAAAATTCTGCGATAGATTCTCAGAATATTCAATTTAAATACATTCACTACATCTCCTCTGCGCTTTAACTGTCTTTTAAAGTAATTAACTGTAACATAAGAAAGTAAAAAAATATCAGAACCATAAGAAGTTCAGAAATATTACTGGGAAATTATAGACATGAGTGTCAGAATATCTTTGTTAATATGGACTGTGAGTCTTATCGTCTCTGGCAATGGCCAGTTTCTGTACTGGGAACCTTCCGGAAACTTTACAATAATTTCGGACGAGAGCGCTGCGTCGGCAACGAACCCCATTTTTGCATCACAATTTGACCGAACTGTGGCACTGCGCGGGCTTCCTCCCTTGCCTCAGCTAACCCTTGAGAAAGCTTCTGAAAATGAGATCCACAAGGACTGGGTAGAAATAACGACAAATAACTCGCTTAAAGAAAAAAATCCAGAGAACGTACTGACCGACAAGAACAACTGGGACTTCGATCGTCCATCCCCTCTTACGTTTTCGGAAAGTTCAGAACTGGAGCTGCAAGATGACCGGACGGAAATAACTACCAGGAGATCATCGAGGCAGGTTAATCCTGGAGGTATTTTGTGGCGCAGTGCAAGTCTCAACCCTGCACTGCGTGCATCCGTGGATCCAGTCTTTAATCCATACGATCCACTGAGTCCCAGGCAAGTGGTTCCAGGAGTTAACCTCAACCCCGGGGTGACGGCGTTCGACACTTCAGATTTGGACGCATTCACGGCCCGTAGAGTGTCAAACAGCTTCTCCTTGGGGAACAAGATACGATTTTCGGACACCGTCACTCAGGTACTCTTGGCTGAACAATGAACATGCCTAAAAATTTAGTACCGTTAAGGAAGGAATTTAATACCGAAACAGACTCGTGTTGCGCTCATAAGAAAATATGAAAATCATATTAAATTTATACTGTTTTTTCTTCAAGTGAAGTATGATATACAAAACACTCTATTTGTGATGGCCACGTTATGAAAAATTCAATTTTGAAATTATACATCCCATTCCTTTGCAATTTTGTTATTAATGAACCTGATGTTCCAATTTAATTAAATGCATATAATATAATTTGGTGTGAGAAATAAAACAGTCGTTATGCGCAATGACACTTTTTTGTTTCAGTTGGGGACGAGCTGGAAATCGGAAACCGGCGAATTCGTGCCGAGTGTTGCCGGAATTTTCTTCTTCACATTTTCCTCGATTTCAGATCGATTTACTCACTTCAGGTGAGATAAAAAAAACGACCGCTGTAAAAAAATAATTTTAAACTTTTTAAAATTTCATAAAACTTTTGCGTTATGACAATGAAGTGTTAACGAGCATCAAGTAAGGCTTATTATCTTTCCTAGAATGAAAGAGCAACAATAATTGTAAGTAAATAGTAAAATTACATTAGCAAAATTGCAACAGTAAAATTTAAAACTGTAAAACTTGCAGCTGGAGATGAAGCAATTCAACGCAACAATAGAATATTGTAATATGTAAAATACGAGGAAAATACAATATTGTAGCATGATTCTTTCCAGAATTTAAATGGGCCAGCCATCATAGCGTTCATAATTCTTCTCTCCCTGTGACTTATTAAAGCCTTAATTTCCACTTGAAGCAATCAAAGCTAATGCCGGCTTAAGTGTATCCAATTTAGAATTCACTAATTGCCAAATAACTATAACTAACGTTCCATGAAAGTAACTTTTAGAAGATAGAGAATATCTGACGCCATAATTTGCATATAAATTACACAGATCGCTCCTGCTGTAAGAAAAAATTCTCTTATGTTCTAAGAATTCTTATTATATCTTTTTTATTCAACTCTGTCTTTGGGTAGAATTTGTATTGCCCCGTTACATTTATGTCAATTTAAAAATTATTTTGATTAATGACAACCCTTTTAGTCTATGAAATATTTATATTGCTTTTCTACCGTTTTGCATAATTTCTGCATAACTTCTGTGCTTAAGACTGCAGGTAATCCAACGTATCTATCCATTTAAATCTATATTGGGGATATTCAAAATTTTGATGTTAATGCTGATTGTGTGGGTGATACTGATTTTAATCGATCTAATTTAGTTGACCATTTTACCATAGAGAATGCCGTGAAACTTGATTGAACAGGTGACATGATCCAGCTGTTATGCTCCATGTACAGCAAAAATTATGCAATGCCAAAACTTGATTTTCATGAATGTATCATGTTTACTGTAATTTCGGCCAGAGAAAGTCATGCGTAGTGCAATTAATTAGCTACAAAATGTGTTACAACATTGTTTTAGGATGTTAATCAAATTCAGGAACTATATTCAATGTTTTTTGTTATAGCTATACACTGCATCATCGGCCGAGAATTCATGCGATACATTACTTTCCCACGTTTCATTATTTTTAAAAGCTCACTCATTGCACAGAATCTCACTGCAACTGAACGGCGCTGAAATAGTAAGCGCGTTTGGCGACATCTCAGGCTACCAAATGGCAAGCAACAGCGCGCTCGTACAGATGCAGGCTGGCGACAAGGTCTACCTCACTCTTGAAGAAGGGCGGCTCTACGACGTCTCTTCTACAAGAGCCTACACCTCATTTTCTGGCTTCAGAGTGTTGTAATTCTTTTTATTTTAATGGAAGGTGTACGTTCTCTATATTTTAATCGTGTACGGTGTCACAGTTCATCCATTTCGTTGAAAAAATCGATTGCCACGTGTGATGGAAAGTACCACGCGATTTACCACAGATAAGTCTGGATAATTCATATTTCATATATACTGAAATATGTCTGGATAATTTATATTTATTTATGTCGTCCTGAAATCGCGGAATTGCCCATTCTATGGAATCGGTAGACAGTTTGCCAAATCTGTAGAATCAGCATTTCGTTGCTGATTCAGAAAATCGGACGTTAGAGTTAGAGTTAGAGCGTAAATCGACAGTTAGAGTTAGAAAAGGCTAAGCCAAGTTCGATCAACTTCCTTTATATTTAAATATTAAAAAAAACTTGGCTGACTGACATAACCGCAGATTCCTATAGTATACAAATGTTGATTTAACAGATTCGGCAAACTGGCTGCCGTTTCCATAGAGTCGGCAATTCCGCGATTTCGGCACGACATATATATATTACGAAACCCTTAATGAAGATACAAACTTTGCATTGTATTTATTTTAGTTTATCTGATGCAATCTTAATTCAAAGAGACTCGGATGTTATTACAAGTTTACGTCCAAATAACGCCCTCTGGTTGATATGAAAAAGTAATGAAAATATCTGAATGGATCACTTACATTCCTTTGCCAATGTGAACGCGAAAGAAGTTTTTATGCTTCTTGCATGACCAAGAGAATTTTGTAAAAATGCAACAAAATATCCACGCTTTTATTCGGTATCCTTGCAGCGCTGCATTCCAGTCTCTACCAACCCTCCTCTCTTGATGAGAAGTAAACAAAACTCCTGTATAAACATTGATGTTTTACGGCCCAACCATAGCGACATTCATTACTTTACCGAATATTGCGTCGAAATTCTATCTTTTTTACCTATTGCAAATAGAAAAAAATGTATAAGTTTTTTCATTATTTTACATATTATATTAGAATTATTTATATGAAACGAGATTCAAATATTCACATCAACAGAAATATTCACTGCCACAGAATTGGCAGTGAAAGAGCCTAATAAAGTTTTACGAAGACGGTGAATTTTGCGAAATAATTTTCTGGTAAGATCTAGGTACTTAATTTTGGATAAATTTACAGCTTTACCTTACCCAAGTATACGTGTTTTAAATATAAATGAACTATTTGATCATTTTTTACACTCTCATGGTGCACTCATGGTGCATGAAGGATAAGAAAATTCGTTTCTTCTAGTTCAATAATTATAAAAAATAAATTTTCATTCGCCTTCAATTACTATCAAACATTCAGTGTAATGTTGAAATAACCTCTAATACGAGCAAGCAATCAGGGTATCTCTTTTCAAAGAACTTAGCTCAATGTTCTATCATATAGCCTAGCCTTGAAAAAGCGTGCAGCTCTTGATGAATCGCCCGATCCTTTTCATAAATGAAATCGTTATGGTATCTCTCACAAAGAGCTTTTTACAAGCTGACTCGCAGCAGCGAGCTTTTTAAATGTGGAGAAAAAGTAACATTTTCTACAAGGTTTGCACGCCAAGCTTCAGAATGGCTTCTCATTTAGCACGCTAACGATAAGATCGGATTTCCGGACAAATATGTCTGCGTCATTCATTGGTCCGCAAACACGTCACTGCCGTCATAGGAACACGGTAAACATGGCGCGATGTGTGGTGTGTTGTGTGGGTGGTGTGTGTATACAATAGAAGAATAAAGGCGAAAAATGGTTAGTGTTATGTGGCATGAACATTGAATAGAGCCGAATGAATAACAGCCACAGAATTGAAAGGATTTTAGGACGGAATTAGATCTCGTAAGTTCCAAGGCCGATCCAATAATGGCATCTGCGGAGCAAGAAATTCTGGAATGTCGTGGAAAAAGAATTGGCTTCACGTGCAGAGGTAACTAATTCTATTCTATTAAATCCTTGTTGTTGAGCGTGGCAGGCATGTGAAACTGGTGTGGAAATTCTATTTCACTTAACATGCGTTGAATGTTATAGAATGTCACGAATTTTACGTTGAAGTGTTTTCAATTTTTCTGTGTTTACTATACGTCAATTTTTATATGACAATTTGAAAGCTTGTATTCTAAGGATAAGGCTAACGAAAATATTTTCTTACTTCTTTAAAAATCTCATATTTTTGACACTTTTTTTCATTAACGTAGAAGAATCGTTCATTTCATGACATGCTTGATGTACCTCACCACATTCCGGCTTTATTGTCTGTTTTGTTCAAGGTATCAATTGGTAAGTATTATTGAGAAAGCTTTCTCAAAATCCTTGTAATATATACAGACGATTTATTTAATATCTTAAGATGTGCAGATCTAGATAACATTGGAGAGATTCAAGTACTGACTATTTCCTGGATGAAAGGGGAACTATGCTTGATAATTTATCATACATTCACTTTTCAGACAGCAAATATTAACGAAATGATGTTGACACAAGAGCGTATCGGAGATATTTGCTATTCATTAATTCAGCGTTGTCATTGGCGTTGGACATTACTTTTTGTTGAAAACATTTTAATAGATAAAAACGTCGATTTATCAGTTGAAATACGATTATTATTAAAATAACATTGCTCAGAAATCGTCAAAGATGATTTTGCCGTTCGAAGCGCGAATAATGGAATTTGTGGTAGTCAAGGTCAGTGAATGTATTTTTCGTTGCCCGACTGCTGTAGTTTTCATGTAGTACCTGACGTTGAATTTAACGTACCTCCATCTGTATTAATTATAGGTCGTATATCTTATAGGTAAAGACGAGCTAGATTTAAAATATATAGTATTTCATCCTAGGTACGCGATCCAAATTATTTACATTGATATTTGCAACGAAATCGGTAATCTTAAACAAATTCAAATAAATTTTCAGTTGCAAAGGAGAACAAGCAATTTCAGCCAACCGCTGACATCATTAGATCGGTTCTTGTAGAATGTAGAGTATAAAGACACCGTTGAAAAGATTTGAGACAATATTTTGTTTATTATTAGGATGAAAAACCAGGTTTATATTTATTCCCACCTTTATTTGAAATATCAAATTTGAATTTGAATCAATACCATCGTAAGGTGTATTTACAAACCGCCCTACAACGATGTCTTTCATAATCACCAAGTCCTTAATACTTCTCCAGGACCACTACATAGATCTGTTCTCTAATTAAACCTCATCTAGTGGTCTGCATTCTTTCTCAAGAACAGACGCGCGCATGAATTCTCTTAAAATTTCAGATCACAAATCAGTTTGGCATCCAAATTTATTTTCAAGTCCAGCGGTACAGGCATTCTTTTGTCAGTTCTCAGGGAACAATCAAACTAAAGTTCCTTGGTGCGGAAGTTGGTCTGAGGAACGAACGCACCCAAAATGCGTAGACTCATCAGTGAACTCGACGTGTTTGGAAATTCTTAGAGGCTTTCACGATAAATCAGACGAGGTGCATGCAAGTCTTTGGCCGGACAAAATAGTTCCAGGAATTCCTTTGGTATTAGCAGGTATTGATTGTCCGACAGAATTCTCGATTGTCCGAAAGAGCTCGGCACCTAAAGTAAAATATTACTTCCAGCGTTGTTTGTTTTTAATATGCTGGTCTAGAAGTCATTTTTTGTAGTTTTATATATCACATAAAGGAGCCCCTAAACGATCAAGCGACTTGATCAACAGCTCGAGTCAATCGATTGACTCAAGCTTGATTGATCGTGTAGGAATCCGTTTGACGCTGGAAGTTGGGCTTGATAGTGATTCATGGAAAGTTTGATTGATGAAATTTAATGATGGAAAGATGAGCATATTTTTAGGAAGAAGGCAGCCAATTTAGTATTTGGAAGCATTGCTCATCACCAAAATCTACACGGCAGCTCATAACTTGTGTGAACTGTTTCCATTCCATGCGAGAGGGAAGTTTTGATAAAAAGATTGATGGCCTGATTGATGTTGATTTAAGCGCGAGGAAATTGTTGGACTCTAGCCGCTTGATCATTATGTGATTCTTTAGGAAAACTCACTCATCCTGGAATTTCCGAGTAGGCATGATGCATTTGCCTCAAGAAACTAAACATATAAAGTGTAGTCAGTAATATATAATATCACCGTAATAATTAGCCTGCTGCTTAACCCAACGCTGTTCGGGGGTTAAAAGTACAAAATATTTACAATCCGCATCTGTTTGATCAGATCTCTACTATACAAGTAATAATAGTGCTACCTTCTCTCCCAATAATTTCAAACTTGATTAAAAGTGAATTAATTATAAACACCTTCATTCAAATCTGCATTAATTAAGAACTCTTTAACTCCGTTCTAAAATTTTAACGAAATGTCATTTTTAATTTCCTATTTTAGTTTAAATAAATTAATATTTAATATAGAAATTACATTAGATCTGGACAATTATTCAATCCCATTTCCACGTGCCTTATCAGTAAAAACAAATTTTCAGATCCACGTTATTTCACGATACAAAAGGTATTGTGGATAAGCTCTCGAATAATTCGTGTATATTTCCCGTGCCAGGCTTCATACAAACAAACACACATCCTAGGAAATATATTATATGATATCTGTCATGTCCATAATACTAAAACCTTCTTTATCCTACAATCTTGAAGACTAGATCTCTGACAAAATCACTTTGTGCGCATCTGCTGCTTGCTCCCAGAAGGCGTCTCGAACTTTTGCTATAAAGAGCAGTCTTCTTTTGCAGAAAATCTGCAATATTAAGGCAAACTTACTTGCTTCCCCACCGGGATTAAAAGAAATCAAATTATAACTTTTCTCAACCCGCAAGCCGTTGTCGTTGAAACTTTCTTTGTGCTAAAGCCATGAAGTGTCCGGTAATTTGCAACAAGTATATTACTCTAGCTCCTCATTTTAGCTCCTCTATATGTAATTAACTTTCAAATGGTACGTAACATCACATAGACTACTTATTGAATACAAACTTTCTTTGAAAACCTGGAGAAATACCAACAATCTCGCGTGTTGATTTTAACTCGAGAGTGATTATTATTTTATTTTCATAAATGATAAACTCATTTCGTCTCGGCTTAATTGAAAAGTTTGACTTTTAGGGCAGATCATTTTGAATTTCTTGCCTGCCATCAATAGAAAAATTGTTTCTCTACTAACGATTCAAACTAGAAAAAAAATTTTTTGGTCCATTTCACGATTTTGACAAAAACCTGACTCCCACCATTTGTTCTAATTACCACTGTCTACTTTACAAATGAATCCCTCGCATCTTATACAGGTTGAGTCACGAAAACTTTCTGATTTCAAAGATCAATAAAAAAAGAACTAGCAAAGATATCACAAAATACGTCTTTTCGGAAAAGACATTACCTGCATTTTTGTATTACTTAGTTTTATAGTTGAAATCGGACAAATCACGGCCCCCGGCTATTGTCAATATATTCAGTTAGTCGAATTTTGAACTTCCGTTCAATTCGCTGAAGCATATTGACGGGCATGTTGGCGATGGCTTGGCGAATGTTGAGTTAGGGTTGAAATGAGTTAGGGGACTGTCCTAAATGAGTTAGGGTCCTTGGACAGTCATTGTTAACAATTGATTTAAAATAACCCCATAAAAAAACAATCACACGGAGCCAAGTCTTGGGATCGGGCCGGCCAAAGAATGTCACCTCTAAAGGCGCTTTGCAAAATGTTTTCTCAGACGGAGATAACTCTGCAAAACGGCCATTAAAAAAAGTGCCTCTCGACAGCAAACGCACACTGCTCACTTGTCCAATGAATAGTGGTAACTGACTAGACGGAACATAAAACTTCATGACCTTAATTGCCTTTCATTTGAAATACTTTTCGCCCCCCTTCTCCTACAACATTTGGCTGCTTTGCACGAAATACAATACGAGTAGTTTCCGTGAATCACCCTGCATGTTCTTCAGAATTTTGTATTTGCTGTGTTAGAAACCAATAATCTTTTTGCTCTCACCGGCTGTCACAGCCAAAAAATCTTCTCAGCAAAGGAATGAGTTTAATTTCTCGCGACATTACTGCGTTATCTCGAACTGCTCTGACGACGTCTTGCAAGCCTTCCCTCTAAATTTTTCCTGCTATTCCATTAACAAGACGAGGAAAAATTGCTAAAACTTGCCACTCGAATAGCTATTTTTGCGCTTGCGCGACCGCGCCAACGATATGCCATCGCACGTTCAGCTGTTCTTTTCCGTCAAGACTTCGTAAAACATTTCTTGTGAGCTTGCAAAGTCCGGAATTTTAGCGAGCGTTTCGAAAACCGGGACACGAGTTTTGAAAGCGCCTCGACGTTTGCTCACTAAATTAAAGCGTCCGAGCAAATGTAACTGGCAGCTGCTTGCTTTATATCGCTCATTTTCTCATGCGTCGATTGTAATATTGTAATATATTTAAACGTGTTTTATCACCTGGTTGACAGGTTTCTAGCTCCGGGGCACCTGACGCCTAAGCAACATGCTATTTATTCTTTTTAATGCGTTATTGCTATTATGCGATTCAAAAATGTTTTGAGGATAAACGAATCTAAAAAAAATTCTTTATATGTGAAAGATGAAAGTGCGCGACCTTGTAAAATTTAACGTAAATAATATTGATGTATGTAATTCTCTTTTTACAATGCTAGTAACATTTTTAGTCTGCAGGCTGGATGACGTGCTTGCAGTTCTAGTTCAGTTACCACGGTTATTTATTTTACTAGTCCTGTCTAAACTTGGTACCACTTCGCTGCAACTTGCATGACGATGCCACTCCAACTTCAGATGGCAAACTTAATCCAAGCACAGCCTGATCCCGAGTTTCTGTGCACATCTTGGCATATTGTTTATCAGCCAGCATGAGCTTTAGGAATTAAATTGAGGCCTTGAAGCTTCTGTTTGTGTCTGCAACGCTATGAGCTTC